CGTTCCTGCTTCTCACCAACAGCTCTGATGGCAGCCTCCACAGTTCACCTCGTTCTTCTCATAGCAAACATTGCTACAGTGCTGGAGGGGTTTCAGAAAGAATTACCATCACTCCCGCTAATGACTGATCCTATTTCCCTGGAGCCATTACTGCTGTAATCACCTGGCTTACTGCTATGACAGCTCTATTCATCCCGTTGGTCTCCCAGTCATCCCAGTCTGGACACTAGCTGACCTTCCAAGACCTGTTTACTGATGGAGATGGCTCTCCAGGCCACACAGCTGGTTAGAAGATATTTGTGCAGTGCTTTGTGGTCTAGAAGCACTCCACACAGCAAGATACTATTTCTACCACCCCTTCTCATCCAGCAGAAGGAAGCACAGTGTTTCTGAGCTGGTGGAGCCTTGGCTGCCAGGCTGCATCCACCCCGTGCTAATCAAAGCAGAGGCCTCTGTCAGAGCAAAGAGCCTTACATGGCACATGCTGTGAGGATGAAAGAACAAAGAAACTGCAGTATTTCAAATCTGTTTTCCTATTTTCCAATATCCTCTCTTGGCCTTTTTTGGAGATAACTCTGGCCCTTTAGGTCTGCAGTTTCCCACCAATGATATGGGTGTCCCAGGTGCGGGACTCTTTACCAGCCGAGGAACTGTAGGGTAAAAATGTCCGGCCTGGTCTTGCAGGAGGTCACAAAACCCCCTTGAAATGGGCGCTGGCAATAGCCTTGCAAATCCATGAGCGCTGCAGGGCCTCGCACTAACGTGAGGGAGGTGGTGACTCCGCAAGCAATCAGTGGCTAAGATGTTCCTGGCAGCAAATCAAACAACTGCTGCGTTGAGATTCGCCAACCAAAACCACAATGTACTTCGGGTCTGTGGTTTCCTTTCTTTCCTTGGAGCAGAGGAAGGTAGGCTTTTCTCACTGGCTGATGCCAAGCAATGAATTGACAAGGAAATTATACTGAGAAGCATGGGCGAATTAAACTGTACTTCAGGCTCAGCCAACACTCCCCCTCTCACTCTTGAAGCTGGTTGTTAAATGCATTTTTGTTTTTCCCTGAACACCAGTGCCCCGTGCGTGTGTCAGGAAGTGCTGGAGGCTTTGGCCTCATAAATGTTGGTCTCTCGGGATGAGAGGCTGATCAGGACCAAACCCTGACACCAGATTTGCCCGGCAAAACAAGCCCTGGGAGGAGATGACTCTTCTGGATGGAGGACATTGATGAAGTCATGCTTCAAGCTGGGGACTGCCTAGACTGCAAGGATAGAGCCCCTCCAAGACCCAGGTCCCTGCAAGCATCCAGGAGCACGTCACCTCCCTTGCTTTTCCTTGACCGCCTGCACTGTCTCCTGCCGCTAGCACGGTGACTGGGCAATATTTACAATCTTTTCCCCATCCCGTGTTTGCTGCTGGTCCCACCAGTGCCGTCCGCAGCAAGGGATCCCTCCCTCCGCGTCCCCTTTCCGACCCACCTGGGCAAAGGTGGCCACCAAAGCCCAGGGTTGGACGTGTCTTGTCCCAAGTGAGTCCCGGCTCCCAAACTCCCCCAGGTCAGGGGTGCTCGGGCAAAGGGGCCTCATCCCAACTGTTCTCCAATAAATAGCGAAAAGCTCTGGCAGCAAGCGCTGAATTTCTCTGGTTTATGGGATTCTCTGCAATTTATAGGAAACAGACACGGAGTGGGGCAACGGTCCAAGCCTCGGCTTTAAGGAAAGGCCTGTTTTCCCGCAGCGCTAGGCTTGTACTTCTATAACGGCTTTCTTCTGAGTCTAGCTGAATTTCTCTGGTTTATGGGATTCTCTGCAATTTATAGGAAACAGACACGGAGTGGGGCAACGGTCCAAGCCTCGGCTTTAAGGAAAGGCCTGTTTTCCCGCAGCGCTAGGCTTGTACTTCTATAACGGCTTTCTTCTGAGTCTACGATAACCATCAGTGCGCTGGGAAACGCAGCCGCTTCGGGGGGAAGGGACGTCGAGGCGGGGGGGGCCCCCCCCCGCCCC